CACGTTTTACTAAAGGGGGGTCTGTCCATCCCCGAAGTTGGGGTGGGGAAGGTGGGTCTTTATTTGGCCGTGGGATGGACGCAAGCGCCAAGTCCCGAACACTCCTCACAGCGACGATGGGGGGACCGAACGCGGCCCGACAGGCGCACGAGGCGAGGGCCGCAGGAAGACACGCGGCGGCGGGGCAGCGACCGAGGGAGCATTCGAGGCCCGAGGCCCGACACAACGAGGGGACAAGTTCGCAGCCTAGCACACAAGTCCACACTCAGTCAGCGACGACTTCCGTCAAGTGTTATACCGAGTATCTGACATCAAGCTCGCCACTGCGAGTTGCAGGATGACCGTGCGCAGCTTAGACGTAGTTGTGGCAACGGTCCGGTGTATGCCGGATCACAAGAGCGATGGAGAACCCATAGCATCCTCATCCTCATCCTCATCCCGATCCTTTCCCACCCAAAAGCATCGCCGGGGTGCAGCTAGCGAAGTCCAAGCTTGTTCAAGAAGCCCCCCAAAGAGCGATGAGGGGGAGAGCAGAAATCAGGGGCACGGTGGCCGTTGGGTGGGAAACGGCTTGGACCAGATCTAGATTGAGCCTCACAGGCCTGCGGCCTCAGACAGAGCTCAGGTACAGACAGCAGGTCCCAGCCAGGCTTTCGCCGCTGTCTGGCGTGTCGACCATTATGTCGCGCTGGTCGCACGGGTGCGGGCCAGGATGGAAGTGAGGGACATCTCCATGAAAACGAGCAGGAACGCGAGCAGCAGGCAATACAAGAGCGGCGGGTACACGTCGATCTAGCCACACATCATCACAAGGTGCAGCAGGAATAAGAACATCAGCAGGTGGGTCACGAAGTGGGCCACGGATGGGACACACACACACACACACGATTTTGCATATCATCGGCATGGGGTCCAGTATGCACAGGACCGCATAGATGGCCAGGAAGGCCGCCACGACAACCAGGAAGACCAACACGACCAGAGAGATCGCCATTACTTGCGGGAATGCCGTCGGCGCAATCTTTCAATCATGAAGATCGAAACCATCAGATCGGGGCTCAATGGCCTCCGCACGCTGCAACACCACGTTCTGATTCCGCTGCTCTACGGGCTCGTGCGTAACCGTTAGCCCGATGGCGCCGGTGGGCACCCAGAAGCTGTGGGGCAGGCTGTAGACGACCGCGCAACACGTGCAACGCAGTCCACCAGCAGTGACGCGGCCATCCAACGGCACCCAGTGACCTGCTCCAGGGATGAACTCGGGGGCTTCTTTGCGAAGCACTGTGCTGCCGTCCCGCACCAGCGCCGCAGGCATCACGCCACGAGCAGCAGCGAGAGGCGGCAGCGCCTCAGCAGTTGGGCCCGCCCGCCCGTTGCGTTGAAAAGCCTACAGTGCCGTTTTTAATACATGCTCCGCGTGCGGATCACGTAGTAAAAATTCAGCGGTTTAGTATTAAAAACAACGATGAGTTCATGCATGAATTTATCTAATCGCTTCGCTCATGCCGCCGGCCCTGGAGCCCTCTTTAGGGCCTCTTTAGGGCCTCTTGGGGGCCTCTTGGGGACCTCTTGGGAGTCTCTTGGGGCTCCTTGGCGGCGTTTTGGAGGCCCCCAGGGCCTCTTGGGGGGCTCTTGGGGGTAGTCGATTGCGGCTCCCCCCTCGGAGGCCACGATCCTCGTGAGGGGTGTCGAAAAATACCCTCCCCTGGAGTGGTCTGGTGGCTTCTCCCGGGCTTCTCTCGGGACCTTGCCGGGGTACTTTTCGTCCGGGGGCCCCCAGGGGCCGCTCCGCGCCTCTGGCCCGTTGGGCCGGCGAATTCATACATTGGTCATGCATTAAAAATCCAACATGATTAAAAATCCCATGTATTAAAAACTGCCTTGTACTGAGATCCTCCTGCGAAGCGCCTTCAATAGTCGCCTCCAGAGTGCCAAAGGTGTGCGAGGCAAGCTTACGCTTGGCACGCGCTGCACAAGGAATATGTGCGCCGGAATCGCCAGCTGCTAGAACAGGGATGATAAAACGACGCCGACGCCGCAGCTCCTCGCCAGAGCCGCAATGTGTGAAGAGGGCGGTGAGCCTCGACGAGCTTGGCCGCCAAGCAGCTTGGCCTGAAGATTGGCGTTGGCTGCATCCGCCGCCTCACGAGCACACCAGCTTGCCGCAGAGCGCTGCGCTCGGGTCCTTCCGCGAGCCCCCGACGAGGGCCCGTCCTGCGCCATCTCCACCTCAGCGTCCCCGCACCTACCGCCACCGCCAGGTCATGCCGACCGAGCTGGCTTGAGGAATAGGGTGGTCGTCCGCTGGTGGACGGCTCGAGCCATACTGGCTACGGGGTGGGGAAGGTGGAGGACGAGCGTGATGAGGAGGGGAGGAGGAGCAAGATGGTTGCAGAGAAGGGGGATGAGTAGGAAGGGGCAAGAGGACGAAGGCCGTGAGCAAATTGGGTTCTTCTAGGTCTCCCAGATGGGGTCAGATGAGAGGAGTCGGAGGATTGCGCCGCATCGCCTATGCATTGGCGATGCGGCTCGATGCGGAATCCCGTTTTTCTCCACGCCAGCGTCGCCGATGCATCGCCAGCGTCGCAAATACCGATGCATCGTCGATGTATCGGCAATGCATTGACGATGCGGCGCGATCCTCCGACCCTATCTCCTCGGACCCCATTTAGGAGGCCTATAGTTCTGGAGCGAGATCTCGCGGAGGCACGCTCGGGAGACATAGCGGCTCATCATCGGCAGCAATATGGCGCACCCGAGATCGCAAGTGCGCCTCGAGAGTTCGGCTGCCACCCAGCCCGGAGACGGAGGGCCCTCACGGCGCAACGACGTTCTCAGGGCACTCTGGGACGCTCGTGGAAGGCCGCGACGCACGATACATTCTCCGGTGCCGACATGCAGCGGAGGCCCATGCCAAGAAACACCTTGCTCGCCTCCAGGGTGCCCTTGGTTTCTTGGGTTTCGATGGTTCTACGACGGAAAGCGTGACGCTCCCACGCCAAAAATCAATGGACGTCCTGGGGTCTCAGGGTTGCGTTTCTTGTGGAAGGTTTCTCGTGGTCGAGCCCCTAGTGCATCTCAGAGATTATCGACTCGTCCTCACCCGAATTCATCCTCGTACTGGCTTCGTCTCAGAGGCGAGCCTCGCCGAGAAGGAGGAGGAGGAGGAGGAGGAGGAGGAGGAGGAGGACCTCCTCTCGCCTCCGCGGGAGGACGGGAGGAGATCCTCGCAGCCAGGATGGCCGGGCGGACGGGACGTCAATGGGGGCGGGACAGTACGGTCGGGCGTGCCCAGAGTCAGGATAGAGTTTCCCAGACCGATGATCCTCAGGACGTGTGTGTGTGAGCCCAATGTGTGTTTTCCCTCGCTCAGCTCCGCAGACAGGACGCAGCCTGCGTCGGCTCCCACTGCACCGCCTTCCTCTTATTGGAGGACCTCGACTGACAAACACGCTGGCTCTAACACACGTTCTGAGGATCATCGTCCCACAGCGCTCTGGAGCACTCTCAGAGCGCCCCGGAGCGTTCTGGACTGGCCGCGGCGCCCGATGGACCGCCATATCTCCGGGATTCCTGCTCGGCCTCGTCTCAGGCGGGGGCGTTGTGGCGTGGGCGGGAAGAGGGAGGGGATCGTCCGTCAGAGCAGCGTCAGCACAAACGCTCGAAGGTCCGCGCGGCGCTCTTGGACCTGCGCTTGGGGAGGGGGGACCTCGGCGCCGCCTCCGGGAGGAGGAGGCGCAGGAGGAGGAGGAGGAGGAAGAAGAAATGGGGGAGGAGAAGGAGGAGGAGTAGGAGGAGGAGGAGTAGGAGGAGGAGGAGGAGGAGGGCGGGGCACCCCAGTAGCAGGTATCTCATGGCGTCGCTCTTTTTATGCTTTGTCGAATTCACCAAGGATGCCGCTCTTTGCTGATTGCTCTTGGCAGCACGTGAATCCAGCAGATGAGTACAGTGGGGACCCACACCAAGAGACACCCTGCTTGCCTGCAGGGTGCCCTGTGTTTCTTTGGTCTCGATTGTTTTGCGATGGGGAGCGCGACGTGCCTACGCCAAAAATCAAGGGACGTCCTGGGGTCTCAGGAGTGGGTTTCTGGTGGCAGGTTTCTTGTGGTCGGGCCCCCTTTGTATCGATTCTCAAAGCTTTCATATCATCCAGTGCAGTACTTGCCCACAGGTGTCAGTCATGGCGGCTCCATGTCAGGGAATGGCAAGTCATCTGGAGCTCGGACTGGCCGGCCCTGAGATTTTGTTGTTGTCTTTGTTGGGGGCAGGAAGCGTTTACCAGGAAGTTCTTTCAGGCTCGCCAGGGGCTTCCAGCTACTAGCGTGGAACTTCCGTGGAACGATATGCAACTACGGTCACGCCGTGTCTTCGTGAGGGCAGGGGGTCAACGCGGATGATCGCACATCGCGGACGATGTTCTGTCACCTTTTGCAGTGCAGTCTACAAATATCTATAATTCGTGGTTTTGGCTATAGGATATGGCAATTGTGTGTAAGGGCCTTCCGTTTTCGCTTCGCTTCGATTCTGCCCGAGAGGGGATGTGGTGTTGGGTCGGGAATGGTGGGGTCCGCCGTTCTCTTGCGAGGGCCTCGCAAGAGAAAGGCTGGTGGCCAGAAGACTCGTGCCTCGCAGCGAGGCACGAGTCTTCTGGCAACCAGCGTTTTGACATTGCGGCTAGCCACGGCTCTTACGATGACCAGCGGTATCGTTACCGCTATCAGTGCTTCGTTGCGTTGCATGCGGTTTCTGAGTTATCGTTCCTGCACCCGTGGTGCAAGGGCCGCCACAAGAGCTCGAAGGTGTTCGTGCTTCGCAGTTCGCGGTGTGTTCTCCTCCTTCTCGCTCCCCACCTTCCTAGCCCTCCGCGTCTTTCCCAGGGGACGGCGGGAGATCGCGAAGGTGTTCGCGCTTCGCGCAGCATGAAGCGCGAACACAGCTGCCCTCGGTGGTGCCGCGCGGCGCCCGCGCAGCGAGCCGCTGACAGGACGGGGAGGCCTTGGATGAGAAGGATTGGCAGGACGCCGCATTGCCGAGCGCCTTCGCGCGCGCGCGCGAGCGCTCCAGCACGGGGAGGAGGAGGAGGAGGAGGAGGAGGAGGAGGATGAGGAGGAAGGGAGGAGGAGGAGGAGGAGGTGGAAGAGGAGGAAGAAGAACAGGAGGAGGATGAGGAGGAGGGATCAGGAGGGAGGAGGAAGAGGAGGAGGGGAGGAGGAGGAGGAGGGGAGGAGATTGAGGGGACGTAAATGGAGGAGGAGGAGGAGGAGAAGGAGCAGGAGGAGGGGGAGGAGAAGTCGGAGGAGGAGGGGGAGGAGGAGGCGGAGGAGGAGGAGGAGGAGAAGGGGGAGCGAGAGGAGGAGGAGGAGGAGGAGGAGGAAGAGGAGGAGGAGGAGGAGGAGGTGGAGGAGGAGGAGGAGGAGGAGGACGGTGAGCTTCCCTTCCCTTCTTCCTCGTCATACCGCTGCTCATCATCTGGTTCTCCTCCTCATGCCACATCCTCCTTCCTGACCTTTTCTGAGGAGGAGAAGACGCCGACGCCGGGCAGGATCAGATTCGGGCAGCGACCGAGCCACGACAGAACGAGCACAACAGCTCGAATGACTTGCGATGGTAGTCAGCCGCCAGGAGCGTTGTCACTGGTGGTTACGACGTGAGGCTGTCTACATATCACATTGTTTGAGGCCACGGCCTCCACGCCATGCCCTGATGGGCACGGGCGGGCCCAGAACGTTCCAGAACTCTCAGAGCGTTCCGGAACGCTCCGAGAAAGCCGCCGCGCCCGACACGTCCTCCAGGGCCGCCAGATCTCAGAGATTCTCGAGTAATCGTCGCCTGATGCTACCCTCGCCTTGGCTTTGTCTTGACCCTGAGGAGGATGCGGCGAAGAGACCCCCTGAAGAGGAGGAGGAGGAAGGGGAGGAGGAGGAGGAGGAGGAAGAGGAGGACGAGATCCTCGTCCTGGCTTCATCTCACCCTGGGGAGGAGGAGGAGGAGGAGGAGGAGGAGGAGGAGGAGGAGGAGGAGGAGGAGGAGGAGGGACGATCCCTGAGGAGAGGAGGAGGAGAGGAGGAGGAGGAGGAGGATCAGGGAGGAGGAAGAGGAGGAGGAGGAGGAGCACAAGCAGGAGCAGGAGCAGGAGGACAGGAGGAGGAGGAGGAGGAGGAGGAGCCCGGCGCGCCCAGGAGCTCCAGCGCAAGGGCCTCCTCCGGCCCGCGGAGGTCGCCCTGCTGCGGCGCTTTGACGGCGACCGGACAACGAGGCACGCCTGCCGTCCGCCGCCGCCGCGCCTTCTCCTCCCTCCTCCCTCCTCCTCCTCCCTCTTCCCTCCCTCTCCTCCTCCTCCTCCTCCTCCTCCTCCTCCTCCTCCTCCTCTCTCCTCCTCTCCTCTTCCTCCTCCCCCCTCCCTCCTCCCTCCTCCCTCCTCCTCCTCCTCCTCCTCCTCCTCTCCTCTCCCCTCCCTCCTCCTCCTCCTCCTCCTCCTCCTCCTCCTCCTCCTCCTCCTCATCCTCCCTCCCCTGGCAGGGTAGGGTTGGGATGTCGCCAGCTATCCGCGGCAGCCCTGGCCCCGCCGCGCCCAGGATCGGGGAGAGCCTGGCGTGTCCTTGTTTTCGCATCGGGCTTTTCTGCCCAATTTCGGGCCCCGGGAGCCTCACCGAGCACGTTCCGCTGCTCGCAAAGTGACCACTTCGCAAACGGCCTACAAAGAACATGCGAGTAGGTACTGTACAAGTCGTGGAACGCGCTCGTCTACTCACAGATCGATGCAGCTCGAGAAATGATGCAGAAATATGGGGTCCGGCGCTTTAAACGCTATATGCATAAACTTGTAGCGCTCCGCGCGGATTTCTCGGATCTGCGCTGAGCCCCGCCCGGCGGCGCCTCCGGCGCCGCCCCTGGCGCGCTCCGCCAGGGAGGGGTGTCCGGCGCAGATCCAAGAAATTTGCGCGGAGCGCCAACAGTTTGTGGTTATTGCGTTTTATTTATTCTATTCGTTCTCCCCTTTGTTCAATTCTTCGGAGGAGGGAGGAAGGGGTTGGGGAGGGATGGCCCGAGGAGGAACATGTATTCGATGCTGCTTCCCTGGCTTCGTGTTCGCCTTTTTTGGGCCGAGGCCCTCGTCGCCACGGCTGGAGTCGCTTCGAGATGCTGGGGCGTAGCAGTATCGATATCTTCTGGCTTCTCCAAGGGAAGAAGGAAGGGAGTGATGGGGGGGAGGAAGAGGGGGGAACGACTTGCGGCCTTGTGCATTGATTCTTGGCTGGCGGCCTCGCGGCCGCCTGCAGGATGAGGAGGAGGATTCCGAACAGCACTGGAGTCCGGCGTTTGGATTCGGAGTTTCAGAGAGTCGGCCTCCCCGACTGCACTGGGATCCAGAGGCTCCACTTACGGTCGGACCGAGGAATAAGATCGAGGTCGGTTCGGGGAGGGTACCTTGGTGTTCTTCGTCCTTGTTGGATGTTCTGGTGCATCCTGGGGTACCCTTGGATTGGATGTGCTGTTTCGTCTGGCCGACGGAGGACCTCATGCTCTTGAAGGATGTTCTTCTGGCCTAGGTGTAAGTTGGGCACGTCCCTCTACAGGAGGAATATTCAAAACTACTCCAAAAATAGTCTGGGGACTATGTTGTAAGTATTTGTTTAAAACCTTGTTTGAAAACATTTCAACTAATTTTCATTTCTCGTCGAAAACTCCCTCGTAGGCGGACACGCCCGACCTAAGACTAGGTCCGACTGTAGTGCTTGGGGGGATCCTTGGGAGGCGGAGGTTCCCCGCTTCCCATCCATCTCCCTCCTGTCCCAGAGCGAGTCTGCCCTGTGCACGTTTCCTGGCCTGGCTGGCTCCCGGTTGCCGAAGGGATCGCTGCTTGGTCGGCCGCAGTGGCTGCCTGCGGGCCGTCGGATCTCAAGCAGCGGCGAAGTGTCCTGGTTGCCTATAGGCCTACCCAAAAAATGCTCTCATCACCTCGTGCGGTCTGCACGAAATGTTCTTAGGACATGTCTGGCTCAGACTGTACTGTTTCAGTACATCGTGCTTATGTTCTAAGAACATTGTTTTAAGAACACTGCTTTTGTTCTTAGAACATGTCTGGGTTCTAAGAACATGTCGTGGTAGGCCTATCGGAATGCTGGGACGGTCGGTCCCTGCTCAAGGAGCGGAAGAACGGAGGTGGAAGGATCGCAAACACGGATCAAGGGGGTGGCAAATCGCGGATGCCCGCCGCCGGGCGAGGCGGCGCCGGCCTCATTTTTGGGGGGGGCACCTCCCCCGATCCATGTATTTGGCGACAGCGCGCCAGATCCATGGATCGCTAATCCATGCTTGCGCGCCCCCGAACGGAGGAGGACGAATCGTCGACGAAATCCGAACCCTACGCTCGCCCATCAACGACTCAGGCAGCTCGATGGGCTGGGGTAGGGTTCGGAATTCATCGAACACATGGCGGGATCTAGAGTTCGGACTTCGCACGCGTGGCGAAAGCTGAAAATTACCCCTGCCTCCCATCGACTCAGGAGAGTCGCTGGTTGTGGGTGGGGTGGGGGGTAGGGCTCGGATATCGCCACCCGAAGGAGGATCCGGCGTCGCCCATGGCGCTCCGCGCACCAGGGCGGTGGATCCAACGCCGATCCAGGAAATCCGCGCTGATCTCCGAAATTTCATGGTCCTGCTGTTTTCTGTTCCCCAAGCAGAGGGATATTGAGCAGGAGAAAGCTGATGGGGAGATACGAAGGGAGGGAGGAAGGAACATAAGGAATACGATCGGGAGATACGAAGGGAGGGAGAGGAAACATCCAGTGGCCTTCGGCTCATCCCGCCACCGTGCCTGGGTCGTGGACAAGAGGCCTGATGGATGCCTCTTGGAGGCCTCTTGGGGGACCCTCTGGGATAGTCTTGGGCCCGGGGCCTCCTGGAGGGACAGGGTTGGAACTAAACGGTGGTTTTGGTGATTTCTTGGGCCGTTTTCGTTTCGATTCCGTTTTGCGGGAAAGGCGGATTCGAGACAAACGCAAGGGACAACGAGAACAAAACAAAAACGAAAAACACCGTTTAGGTTCAGTCCTGTGGAGGGATTTTTGGTGCCTCCGAGAGCATCTTGTGTGCCTCTGGGGGCCTGCCAGCTGTCTCGGAGGCTTCTCAGGATTGGTGTGGTCCGAATCGCAGTTCGAGATCCCCCCTTTGGGCCTTCCTGCGAGGCCCCTTGAGAGCCTCCTGTGCCCCTCTTTGGATCTCGGGGAGCCCCTTTAGGACTCTCGAGGGGGCATTCTGGGCCGATTTGGACGCCCTTTCTGTTGAAATGGCGAGTATCGCGTAATCCATACCAGACCGAATCCAGTTCAATGACATCGGCCTCTTCGGTGCGTTGTCGCGTTGGCTCAAGGCTCAAGGCATTCCTTCGGGACCCACGTTCTACACTCCACTGATCCGCAAACTAGATTCTGCATTCATCCGGGGACATTAGGGGGCCACGTGCGAGCCCTACCCCTAACCCCCACCATTTCTGAGGGGGAGGGTGGGGTTCACTTTGCTCGGGAGCTCCCGAACGAAGTGAGCCCCACCCTCCCCCTCAGAAATCGTGGGGGGTAGGGGTAGGGCTCGCACGTGGCACCCTAGACATGGCCAGGCTGTGCTTCCTGCTGTTCCTGGTGCCGGCCGCGGACGCGCGCCTCCGCGGCTTCGCCCCGCCGAGCGCCCCCGCGGTGGAGGCCCCATCGCAAGATGTTCCAGCCGCTGTCCTGTGTGACCAGCAGCCGTCGAAGGTGATGGGCCTGTTTTCCACCACCACTACCACAAGTTGGAGAGGGGGAGGGGGTCCTCCTCCTCCTCCTCCTCCTCCTCCTCCTCCTCCTCGTCCTCCTCCACCTCCTCCTCCTACTCCTCTTCGTCCTCCTCCTCCTTCTCCTCCTCCTCCTCCTGCTCCTCCTCCTCCTCTCCCTCCAACTTATGGTGGCGGTGGTGGAAAACAGGCCCATCAGAAGGGGCCCGAGACGCCCCCAGGCGAGTTCGACGAGCTCGCGCTGCTCCAGCGGGAGATGACTACGGCCCAGGATGTGCACCAGACGAGCCACAAAGGCTGGCTGGCGAAGGAGGAGGGCAGGTCGAAGATCAGCGCTGAAGAGAGGGTCTGGCACTACGACCAGGTGGCTGGGCAGCTCTCGAAGATGGTGGACGACTGTGCCGACGATCCGATGTGGCGAGATGCAGACGGCGACGGCTGCGAGGCCTACTCGTCTGCGATCGCGTCCGGGAAGATTTCCGCATGGGCGGCATGCCATGGGGGTGGTGACCGGCTGGGGCTAGGACGAGAAAAATTCCTTTCCAGAGCGTTTCGGAACGCTCTCAGAGCGTTCCAGAACGCTCTGAGAAGGCGGCGACGCCCGAGACATCCTCGACCCGCCTGATTTCAGAGATTTTCTCGATGCATCATCGCCCGAATTTTTCCTCGTCCTGGCTTCGTCTTAGGTGAAGCGCCGCCCGCCCAAGGGCTCCCAGGCTCCCTGGTGCAGGTGGTGGCGGACGCATCGGCCATGGTCTTCTGCCCTGCCACCTGCAGCATGTGCACGCCAGCTGGAGAGGAGGAGGAGCAGAGCAAGGAAGGTCTGGACGACGTGGCTTTTGTGCAGGTGGGGGTCAGCTCGTCCAGGGGGGACCACAAGAAAACCGTCGGTGAGTGGGAGGAGCACATGTTCGACCACCAGTCCAGGATCACGTCGGACGAGCAGGGCCTGGACAACGAGACCGTCGCCTTCCAGCTGGCCAAGCTGCAGCAGGGGGAGGGCTGCGCCGACGACCCGATGTGGCAGGACGCGGATGGCGACGGCTGCGAGATCTACCGGTTCGTCATCGAGTCCGGGAAGAGCCCGAGGGAGGTGGTTTGCAACGGTGGTGGCCAGGGCCCACGGCTCCGCGGGGCGCGCGTGGAGGTCGTGGCCGATGCCACCGCCCGGGTCTTCTGCCCGGTCACGTGCGGCATGTGCTGACGCGGCAGGCGCACGGCACGGGCTCCCCGGGAGAGACGGCGGCGTTCGGAGCAAAGGTTTTGCCGGCGTGGGCTGCAGGCAGTGCGATGGTGCATTTGAGATGTGTCAGTAAGTGGTGTGCTCTGGGAGGTGTGCTTTGTGTGTGGTCTGAGCAGGTGTAATGAAGTCATGTCGCGCCATGCACGTGGTGCATTCCAGGTGCTGTGGGCCATGCGGTGGAGGCTGCGCGGTGCAGTGCAAGCTGTCTGATCCGTGTAAAGGAAGGCATGGGGGGCGGTATGCAATCTATGTGGTGCGAGCTATGTGGTGTAAGCTGTGTGATCAATCGACGCGGTGCAAGCCACGAACTGCAAACCATGCGATGTGAGTTCTTGCGCCAGCTATATTCTGTAACCGATGTGGTGTGAGGTATGATCTGTGATCTATGATATACTAGATATGTGGTGCACTCTAGGTCGTATGAGATAAAGGCGTAGGCGTAGGCTATATCGGGTAAGATGTGTGGCATTGCCTATGTGATGTACAGTATGTGGTGCAGCATATGTGGTACAATCTATGCGATGCGCGCCAGGTGTTGTAAGCTATGCGGTGTAATTTACGCGGCCTGCTGGCCGCCCGTCCGCCGCCCGCCTGCCTTCCGTGTAGCATTCGCCACCCTGTACTCAACCGCCTCCGTTTCCAAGACAAATGTTTCTAGTCAACAGCCTCTGTCCCCCAGACAGCACCCAGTACTCAACAGGCTCCCGCTGCAAGAGAGAATCCCTAAGGAGCTGATTCCAATCCCGACCCTCCCGCCCGCCGCCCGCCCGCCCGCTCGCCCTCCGCCCGCCCGCCCGCTCGCCCTCCGCCCGCCCGCCCGCCTTCCTTGTAGAGCATACACCACCTGGTATCCAACAACCTCCATCTCCAAAACAACACCCTGTAGTCATCAGCCTCCGTCTCCAAGACAACGCCCAGTACTCAACAGCCTCCCGCTGCAAGAGAGGATCCTTAAGGAGTCTGATTGAATCCCGATCCGCCTGCCCGCCCGCCGCCCACCCGCCCGCCCGCCGCCCGCCCGCCCGCCTTCCGTGCAGCATGCATCACCCTGTATTCAACAGCCTCCGTCTCCAAGACAACACCGTGTACTCAACAACCCCCGTCTCCAAGACAACACCCAGTACTTCATAGCCTCCCGCTACAAGAGAGAATAGTGAAGGCGTCGACTCGAACCCCGACCCGCCCGCCGCCCGCCCGGCCGCCCGCCTGCCCTCCTGCCTCTTCGTTCGTCACTTCGTCATATTCCTCCCCGTTCACCTCGCTCGCCCCACCCGTGCACACGCAGACAAGACTCTCGCCTGGGGTCCCTCAGCCACCGCGGGCCTCCCTGGGGGGGGGGTCTTTTGGCCCGGCGCCGCCCCGGCCAGAGGAGAGTTCATTCCTCTCGCTCGCCCACGCAGCTTCGCCTCGCACGCGCGACACGAACACGAGGCCGAATCCGATTTCCCGGTCGCGGCCTCTCCGTTTCATTGCGAACCCACATCCTCTCTCTCGATGAATGGTAGGTGTGTGCTTGCGGTTCATGCCGTAGCGTTTTCTGTTTATCGGTTTTGTTTTTTTGTTTGGGCGGTCCCGCTGTAGCGTTGGCCTCATTTCAGGATCGGCGCTTCATGCGGAATGGTGCTGTCGCCTCAGCGCGGGCCACATGTCTGCATCCGATACATTCCTCGTCGTTGTCGCCTCCCCTTCCCCTCGTCCGCATTATCCTCGCCCTCCTACCACTTTCGCTTCTCCTGTTCCTGATGCTGTTGCTCCTCCTCTTCCTCCTTCCTCCGTCTCCTCATGCTCCTGCTCATCCTCCTGCTCATCCTCCATCTTTCTCGTTCAATATATACCGTTTGTTGTTTGACTGCGCATCAAACGATAGTGCCTTTTGGAGAACCGCCGCCAGGACATCCGATGGCGGATATAACGAGCTAGTGCAATGGGAGGGACGGGTGAGAGGGGTGGGATGTCAGATATGACGCGCTCCTAGATTGCCCCTTCTCTCCCCCTGTCCTTTCTCCTCTCCCCTGCCTCCCCCCAGACATCCCTGCTTCCAGCTTGCATCCATGGGGATCTTCGTGTGAGTCAGAGCTCTGCAGCGCTTGAGAGGGCACGTGGGCACATTCTCATGCGCTCCGCCACATGAGCCTGCATGAGCGCCTTACTCGCGCGCTCGCCTCCCCCCCACCTCCCCACACCCCGCAGGAGGAGGACTGCTCTCTGCCGCCCCTGGCATTGCGCCCTTCCCCGCCAGGGGGTCGGCGAAGCACCTGGTGCTCCTCCACTGGACGCCCGCCGCGGCCGCCCCCGCGAGGAGGAGGAGGAGGAGGAGATCTTGCGAGGGTTGGCTGACGCAAATGTTGAGGAAGAGGTAGGAGGAAATGGAGGAGGAGGAGGAGGATCAGGAACAGGAGCAAGGGGTCGCTTGATGTAGGAAGTAGGTGGTTTCAAGTAGGACGATGATGGTGATGGTGTTGGAGTCTTGAGAAGGAGGAGGAGGAGGAGGGAGAAGGAGGAGGAGGAGCAGGATGAGGAGGAGGAACAGGATCCATAAGAGGAGGATGATGATGATAAGATGAGGATGAGGATGCTGATGTTGACGAGGATGACGAGGACGATGATGATGATGATTATGATGATGATGATGAGGATGATGGTAATGATGTTGATGCTGATGCGATGATGGTGATGAATAGGATGATGGTGATGATGATGGCTATGATGATGATGATGATGATGATGATGCTGATGATGATGATGATGATGATGATGATGATGATGCTGATGATGATGATGATGCTGATGCTGATGATGATGATGATGCTGATGATGGTTATCATGATGGTGGTGATGATGATGATGATGCTGGTGGTGATGATGATGGTGGTGGTGATGATGATGATGATGAAGGTGGTGGTGGTGGTGGTGATGATGCTGATGATGATGGTGGTGATGATCATGATAATGATGACGATGATGGTAGTGGTGGGGAGGAGGAGGATGAGGAGGAGGAGGATGAGGAGGTGGAGGTGGAGGAGAAGGAGCAGGAGGAGCAAGACGAGGGAGGCGGTGCCCAGGTTTACACGCGCGCCTTCTCCCAAACTCCCCTATCAGGCTCCCCCGCTGATGGGGAGAGGATGGCAGGGGTGAGCCGCTCGAGGGCTCCAGTCGCTCGCTCGGCAAGATAGCCCGCAGGTCGAGGGAGGAGGGAGAGAAGGAAGCTCCTCCTCCTCCTCCTCCCTCCTCGTCCTCCTCCCCCTCCTCCACAGAAGGAAGAGTCGTGCCCGGTCCCTGGGCCCCAGGCCCCTTGTGTTAGAAGGCCGTGCGACGTCCTCGTGATCACCGCTCCTCCCGCCTGCTTCCCCCTCCTTCCTCGACGCGTTCGTTGGCTTCGTTGCTGAGGCACCTCTCTGCTGCCCCTAGAGCCCTGTCTCGGCGCCCGTTCCGAATGTCCACACCAGTGTTGTGTCCATACCACTGTTGTGTTCTGACTGTCCATACCAGTGTTGTGTTCCATGATCCGGGTGGGCGACGCGGAAGCCGCTTGGCGCGAGGCGACTACTCTTTTGCATGTTTAGCATATGTTGGTCAATGTTTCATTTATTCAAACAAAATGTACAGTCTGTAGGAGGATGTGCCCGACCTAAAACTAGTTGCAGGTTCCCCCTCCCTTCTCTCTCTGCCACAGGGCGCTCCGTGGATGGTAAAATGTGTTCCTCGGCCAGCGCCTGCCGTGCAATGCCTTGGTTTCGCTTGGCGAGTGCAGTGCTCTTTTCCATCTGACCAGCAAGCGGTTGAATCGGATGCGCAATCCACAATTCCCCCCCTCTCTGCGTCCTTGCTGCAGCGCCCCTCCTCCCCTTCCTCCCCTCGTCCCTCGTCCCTCCTCCGCCTCTACTCCCTCTCCAGAGATCCGATGGCTGAATTTCTTCTGCAACACGGGGTCCCCGGAAGGACCAACCCCTTCACCAGGGCTGTTTTTCCATCCCCAGTCGTGTCTTCCAGCGGCCCTGGGGCCCGGTGAGGGTCCTGGAGGCCAAACAACGGTGAGAGTTTCTGGGCCTCTGGGACGGTGTCCGAGTTGCAGGGGTCGGAGGATCGCGCCGCTTGGCCGATGCATCGCCGTTGCGGCTCGATGTGGAGCCAGATTTTCTCCACGCTGGCGTCGCCGATGCAGCGCCGATGTCGCCGATACATCGGCGAGGCATCGGCGAGGCCGTGCGATCCTCCGGCCCCATCCAAGCGGACCCCATCGTGAAGGCGTCTAGCGACGGGCCCCTGCTCCTCCTCCCTCCCCCTTGCTCTCCTCTGCCCAGTCCGTGATTGGGCCCGTCACCTGGGAGACTGGTCCTGATCGCACGACGGCCGTGAGGAATCTCCAGGCCGGGTGTCAATCCGCGGACGAGGCTTCCCCTCAGCGGCAAATCGCCACGCGGCTGGGGTGGCCGCCCATTTGAACCCTCGCGGCTCCCTGGTTCGTTTCCCCGCTGCGGAGCGCACTTGGCCTGCGTGTCTCCCTCTTCTGCCCAGCCCTCCCCGCCCCCTCTGGGCTGTCCCTCCCGGGCGTCCCCGCGCCGCGCGCGCCAGGACGGGGACGGTGACCCGGGAGGTCCACGTGAAGTCCAAGGCGCCGGGCGCGCGGGGGCGGGAGCTCCGCGCCCCGGGTGCCCGCTCCAGGAGTCCGTATCCTTTATCCGATCCCCATCCCCATCCCCATCCACCATCCCCTTCGAGACCCCCACCAAATTACCCCCCCCCCAGTTGGGGATACACCCTTCGAAGCCCTAAGGGAACGACCTACATCCCCATCTAGGGGGGTAAATCGGCCAGTGGGGCCCAGGCCACGCCGCTGGGGATGGGGATCGGATAATCGAGGAGGGAGGAGGAATCGGAGGCTGAGAGTTTGGCACCAACACCGATATCTTCGGTAGAAACTCGTGGTGGCCTGGTTAGGGTTCGTTTTCAGCGTCGATTAGCGCCGACTAGCGTGTGAGAGTCGATGAGATAGCGCCGATGTAGCGTCGACTAGCGTCCATTTAGCGTCGATTAGCGTCGACTAGCGTTGATTAGCGTCGATTCGCGAGAGCCGACAAAATGGTACGAGAGGCTCCCATGAGTTGCCATCGAAAATATCAGCGGTGTGCCTCCTCCGACCCAGACCCCCTCGCTATGCGAAAAACATCACGACGGGAGGTTTCTTTCTCTATTGTCGATTTCCGGGGGCCCTTACCGGTCCGCGGGACCGTCAAAAAACGATTCAGGATGAAAAGTTGGTCCTAGGCAAGAGGTCTTGACCTCGTGGGGTCGACGTTGCGAAAAAGTCACGACGTCGGGGTCTGCGGAGGGAAGATGCTCCCAATCTCGGGGATGGTGGTGTTAGCTGGGCCTCCCACAGGTGTCGGGACGTTCACGACCGGTTTCGAAATCTAGGCAACCCGTTGTGTTGGTGTTGGTGTCCATGTCTAAGCGTCCAGAAGTGGAAGGGGATGGTCAGAGGGAACCCCTTGTCGCCACCTCGTCGCCACGGCTGGACGCCGCTGGGAAAATTGGTGCGTTCTGGACCCCAGGGGGTGTTTGGGGGGATCGGATTTGAATTTCTGCTGCTCAAATCGCCCTGCTCCGAGGCAGGAGTCGAGGAAGCATGTCCGCAAACATTAATTTTCGGATGTCCGTGCGGATGTCTTGGATCGGCGCGGACCTCCGAAAGTTTAACCTCGATGAGTCTTCAGTGTTGGTCCCCCCTCGTAATTCGGCGGTGGTGGGACTGTTCCTCAAACCTCCCCTAACACTACCACCACCACCACAACCACCACCACCGCCACCGCCACCACCACCACCACCACCACTACTACTACTACTACCACTGCTACTGCACCTGCTATTTTTACTACCACTACTACTACTGCTACTACTACTACTACTCCTACTACTACTACTACTACTACTACTACTACTACTACTACTACTACTACTACTACTACTACTACTACTACTACTAACTACTACTGCTACTACTACTACGACTACTAGCACCACGTGTAGTACTGATTACTACTAGGACTACTACTATTAGTACTGCTGCTGCTACTACTACTACTACCACTACTACTACTACTACTGCTACTACTACTACTACTACTACTACTACTACTGCGACGACTACTACTACTACGACTAGTAGTTGTAGTAGTACTACGACTACTACTACTGCGACTACTAATACTACTACTACTACTACTACTGCTACTGCTACTGCTACTACTACTACTGCGACTAGTTCCACTACTGCTACTACAATCACCACTACTACTACTACCAATACTACCACTACTACTACTACTACTACTACTACTACTACTACTTCTACTGTTGCTACTACTACTACTATGTCGACGATGGCGGCGACGACTACTACTACGACTACCACTACGACGACCATTACGACGACTACTACGACTACTACGACTACTACTACTACTGCTACTACTACTACTACCCTTACTACTACTACTACTACTACTACTACTACTACTACTACTACTACGACTACGACTACGACTACGACTGCTACTACTACCACCACCACCACCACTACTACTACTACTACTACTACTATTACTACTACTACTACTACTACTACTACTACTAGTACTACTACTACTACTACTACTACTACTTCTACTACTACTACGACGACGACGACGACGACGACGACGACGACGACGACGACGACGACGACTACTACTACTACTACGTTTGCTACTACTGCTGCTACTACGGCTATTACTTCCATTACTCGTAGTTTTCTCCCAGTTCTACGTATACTACTTCCGCCACTTCTACCACCATTAGTACTAGTAGTCCTACAACTATTAGTACTCTTGCCACGCATACTAAAACTACTATTACTACTACTCCTACGGCTACTACTACTACTACTACTACTACTACTACTACTACTACTACTACTACTCCGACTACTCCTACTACTCCACTACGGCGACGACGACCAGTACTATTACCATTTCTGCGACTACGCTTACTACTACCACTACTACTACTACTACTGCGACTACTACTACTGATGCTATTACTACTACTACTACTTCTACTACTACGACTGCTGCTACTACTACTGCTGCTACTACTACTTCTACTATTAATACTACTACTACTACTACTACTACTACGACTACTACTACTACTACTACTACTACTACTACTACTACTACTACTACTACGACTACTACTACTACTACTACGACTACTACTACTACTACTACTACTACTACTACTATGGTTACCACTACTACGATTACTACTACTACTGCTACTATTACTACTACTGCTACTACTGCCGCGACTACCACGACTACTACCATTACTATCGCAGTAGTTGTGGTCACCTATCCCCGTCGTGATCGTCGTCGCGGCGGAGTGCGTTTTCCCTCTACTATTGTTGGGGCTGGGTAAGGTTGTGGCATGTGACCCCCAGGGAATACCCCATTGACATTTGCCCTACACGCGAGAGGATGTGTGAGCATCTTCTGTCGAGAATTGCAACAGGAATTCTGATTGTGGTTGTAGTCGTGATTGCAGATGCTTTCATTCTATGGATCAGAGTGAGGGGGCCGAACGGTCATTCATTGTCCTTGGGTGCGTGGCTCTAGTGGGGATCCGTGGTGAGGATTATGTTTGTTGCGGTGTTGTTGTTGTTGGTGTTGTTGTGGTTGTGGTTGTGGTTATGGTTGTGGTTGTGGTTGTTGTTGTTGTTGTTGTTGTTGTTGTTGTTGTTGTTGTTGTTGGTTGTCGCCGTTCCCCTTGCGATCCACCCCGCGACCCAGCCGCGACCCACCCCGCGACCCAGCCCGTGACCCAGCCCGCGACCCACCCCGCGACCCAACCCGCGACCCACCCCGCGACCCATCCGCGACTCCCCCCGTGACCCGCCCGCGACCCACCCGCGACCCACCTTGCGACCCACCCCGCGACCCACCCGCGACCCACCCCGCGACCCACCCCGCGACCCACCCCGCGACCCAGCCCGCGACCCAGCCCGCGGCCCACCCGCGACCCACCCCGCGACCAACCCCGCGACCCACCCGCAGCCCACCCACCCGCGACCCACCCGCGGCCCTGCCCGTGACCCAGCCCGCGACCCACCCCGCGACCCAACCCGCGACCCACCCCGTGATCCACCCACATTGCTTTAACGTCAAAATCAGCGCCTGCGGCGGGCTCAATGCATACGTTGTAAAAGTTAGACGCTTGCAGCGGGCTTCTTCAGAGCCTCGCAGACTGACGACGTCCTCGCCGCCCCCTCACTTTTGTCCGCAACTGCGGGGTGCCACACATTGATTGTAATCGTGCTTGTAGTCGCGATTGTAGTCGTAGTCGTCGTAATTGTAGGCGCACTCGCAATCATAATCTTAGTCGTAGCGTAAGCGTCGTCGTCGTCGCGGCGGAGCGAATATTCCCTCTATTGTTGGGCGAGCGGGATCATGTTGGGAATTCTGCCCCCTGGGCTTCCCTGCACGACAGAGGGATGTCGAACACGTTTGTGAGAGGTCTGCATACTGGATCGACACATGATTCGCCAAAGGCGTTGCTCACAATATACAATATGTCTGAGGATCGATCTTCTGGGGGTGGAGTTTCTGAGGGCCCTCATGGGGTCTGAGCTTCAGCATACCTTCTGTGAATGGAGCTTCGGAAGATACGGCTTCTGGGATCGAGTTTCTGAGGTAGGATGTTCCGTGAGAGCGTTCTTGAGGCATAGGTTCTATTAGTTGCCGTAGACGTAGTCGCAATCGTAGTCGTATCTGTCGTCGTCGTTGTTGCGCGGCGGGTCCCGTGAAACAAGTAATCAGACATCTATAAATTTACCCCGGTTACGTTTATGCAGATTCGTTTCTTTTGAGGGGAGAGGAGAAGGAGGCAGGAGGGGGGAGGAGGGAAAAGGACCGATGAATCTAGAGGGAGGCGGGGAGGGGGGAGTGGAGGAAGAGGAGGAGAAGCTGGCTCACCATCGATTTGAGCGGGGGGGACACATTCAGAGTAGAGGGGGGCGAAGCGCGAGCCTTGTGGATTGCGGGGCCCGATCAGACACGGACGCCGCGGGAAGACAACTCAGCACGGACCGAAGTGAGCATTCGGCACCGACCTAACTCACACCTCGCGCGCTTGCCGTTTTTTTTTGAAGTCGTAGACACATCTCGTGCGGCGAACGTTTGTGGAGCTAGCAACGGCCCCGCTAGCAATGCAAACGTGCGACGTCGCATTTGGTCCCGCGTACATGCCCGCCGCAACATAGTGCTGATTGAGAAGGCATCCGAACGTTCGGTCTCACCGAGCGGGCAGACGAGTTCGCGACGGCTACGTTACGGCAGATTTGCTGTGGATCGGGGGACTGGGGAGGCCGACCGTCTTTGATTCAAAGTGGCTACGTATGCGATTATTTACGATGCGCCCTTCACGAAACTCAGAGTCCATCGACGAGCGACCATGTAACAAAAGGCCCAGGGAGCCTTTCGGGCCAGGGCAGAGACGCAACACCTGTTGCCCATAGTTCCAGATATCATGTGCGAGGCGTTGTGGTGGACCTGGGCCAGGGATGGGGCGCTCAAGGTAAGCGGTTGCGATCCCAGTGGGCAGGGGCTCCCGCGGCTTGCCACGCAGACCTTGCGTTCCAACCACGCAGACGGTTCAGGCTGTGTACCGCGCGCAGGTTCCAGGATAGGGCGTGCGTCCGAATATTCGCGCACATTTGCCGGAAGCGCTCCCACCATGAAGCAAGACATGTCCTCCAACATATTCGGGAGGGGCATGTCTCCCAGAGGGCGCCAACAATGGCCATTTCCCGGTGGAACAGGGGGAGTCAAGTGGTCTCTGCTTGCCAGAAGATGAAGAGAAGGATGAGGAGGAAGAAGAGGAGACGGAAGAGGAGGAACATGAGCAGGAGCAGGAAGAAGAACAGGACAACGAAGAGAACGAGATGACAAAGGGTACGAGGACGGACGATGACGGAAGGGTTACAAGAAGGAGGGGCGGAGGACGAGGACGAGGACGAGTAGTAAGGGGGAGTGAAAGAGGGAGGACGACCTCGAGTAGGAGGAGAGAAAAAAGGGTAAACGCGGAGGGGGTGGAGGGGGAGGAGGAGGAGGAGGAGGAGGAGGAGGAGGAGGAGGAGAAGGAGGACGGTGAGGCACGGAGGGAAATTGTTGAACGGGCAGGAGGTTTGCGGCATTTCGGCAGGCAATCGCCAACACCTTCAAGGACATGTTCGGGCGGCTAACTGCCATACTGGAGATGCAGCAGGAAGGGAGGGGTCGTCGTCTCCCTTGTCTTTGAAAGCGGAGGGAGGGATGCATGAAGAGGAGGAGGAGGAAGAGGAGGAGGAGGAGGAGGTGGGAACGCGGGAGAAACGATCGGGAGGAGGGGCGAGCGAGCAGGAGGGGGAGGAGCAGGAGAGGACGGATGAGCAGGAGAAGGAGGAGGGAATCGTAGAGGGGGGAGGAGTGAGGGGGGGGAAAGGCCATCGTGGACGCCTGTTCATTTGGGCGACTGCCGCTCAAGGCACCGTGCTCCGCCGAAGGCGAGAGGTCCATTTGGGGTCGTTTGGGGGTCCTTCGGGGTTGGAGGCCCACTGGGGAACCTCTTGGGGGCTAACGGTGCCCATAGTGGGGGGGAGGCTCCCGACGGTCTGGCGGTGGCGCGCTGCTTCAGTCACTCAGGGGCCTCTTGGGCTCCTCTTCGGGACCTCCAGGGCAGTCTCGGCGCGGGCCCGGAGGGCCTCTTGGGGGCCGCTTGGGCTGTCAAAATCGAAAAGCTCAGAATGCTGTAATTACTGGAACGCCTCATCTTCTCCAGCACGCTTGGCTTTAGGGGCTGGCTCCCAGGCAGGGCCTCCAGGACGGTCCAAGAGGATCTCCAAAACGTGCGAAGGCATGTTGGCAGTTCTAGGCCCGCAATGCACTTCCCAGCCTCGGGAAAGGCCACGGTGTGCAGCCTGTGCATGCCAGACGCGTCCAGGGGCGTTCAGGGTCGAATCGTCGTCGTGGGTCTGGGGTCCTGGAAGGTCGTATCACAGGGACATTTCTTTCAGTGCCTCGCGGTACCAGTGCCATGTGTATGCGTGTCGGTGTGTGCAGTCATGCGCATGCGTGCCAGTGTGTGCACAGATAGAGGGAGAGAGATATAGAGAGAGAGAGAGAGAGAAGAGGAGAGGAGAGGAGAGGCGAGGACAGGAGAGGAGAGGAGATGACAGGAGAGGGGAAGAGAAGGGAAGAGAAGATAACAGAGAAGAGAGAGAGAGAGAGAGTGAGAGAGGAAGAGCGAGAGAGAGAGAGAAAGAGAGAGAGAGAGGAAAGAGAGAGAGAGAGAGAGAGGGAGGGAGAACGAAAGAGAGGAGGCCCGTGAACTGCGGACTGGATATGCCGCTATCCAGCTGCCTCCGGTAGTTCCGCCACCGTGCCAGCGCGGGCTCGACCGTCCTGCTGGGGTCTCTTGGGGCAGAAGGCTCGACTCGTTGGTTCGCGTTCCCGCTCTTGGGCCCTTCTTGGGGCCGTCTTGGGGCTCTCTTGGACAGTCTTGCGCGCCTCCAGGGCAACTCTAGGGCCGTCTTTGAGCCCTCTTTGGCCGGCCGTCTTGGAGCTCTCCTGGGGCCCTCTTGAGCCGCCTCGGGGGTGTCTTGGGGGCCTCTGGGCGCGTCTTGGGGCGTCTGAAGCTCCAAAAAGCGAGAGCGCACCTAAAAAACATGGACATAGCGACGGGCAATGCGTAGAGCTTGCCTCTCAGGGCCCTCTTTCGGGCCTCTTTTGGCAATCGTGGGGCCTCCTGCGCCCTCCTGGGGCGGAAGGGGGCCCTCTTGGGTGTTCTTGGGCGTCTCTTTCTGTCTTCGCGGAAGGCTTTAGAACTCTTCTCAGAGGGCCCGGGGACTTCAAGCTTTCTGAGAAGGCCCGCTCTTTCTCACTTCCCCTCCGTGCTCGCCGCCGATTTTCTCCGTGTTCAAGATCGACGTCTTCTTCCTGTTTGGCCGCCTTGGAGCCCTCTTGGGCCGTCTTGGGACCCTATTGAGAGCCTCTTAGGCTGTCTTCGGGTTGTCCTGATGGTCTCTTGGGTCATCTTGGGACGTCGGAAGCTCGAAACAATGAGAACCCCCAAAACATTGAAAAGCCCAAGGAACATCAATGCTGTTTGCCTCTCGAGGCCCTCCTGGGACGGCTATTGGGGCTCTCTTGGGACGCCTCGACGGCCTCGTAGACCGTCTTGAAGCCATCTTGGGCCGTCTTTATGTCAAATTGGCCCGTCTTTGAGCGATCTTGGGCCGTCTTGGATGCATCTCGGCCTCGGGAGCGCGAACCTCATGTATTTTGCGACGGGATTGTGGCCTCGGGAGTAGGGTGTGGTCCGCGTCCCTGGGCGCTTCCCGAGGGGGTGGGGGGCCATCGAAAATTACAGCACGCCCCAATGTGCCCAGGGGCACGGAAGCAGGTAGCGTTCTAGTACACCCCAATGTGCCAGGGGGCACGGTAGCGGCTAGGTGTATTGTAAGGAGAGACGAGGGAAGGCGTGGGTTGGATGAGGAGATAACGCACCGCACCTAGACCACGCGAGGGCGTGCGTGAAACATATAGCGACGGCGTACAGAGATGGTGTAGAGATGGTGTGATCTGTATTTATGTGTCTCTCTCTCTCTCTCGTTCGCTCTCTCTCTCTCTCTCTCTTTCTCCCTCTTGCTTTGTTTCTCTCTCTCTCTCTCGCTTTCTTTATGCGTTTCTCTATCTCTCTCGCTGTGTTTCTCCCTTCCTCTCTCTCTCTATTTCTCTCTATCTCTGCCTCTCCCTCAATCTCTCTTTCTCTCTCTCTCTCTCTCTCTTTTCTCTGTTTCTCTGTTTCCATGTCTCGCTCTCTCTCCTTCTGTCCCTCTCTCTCTCACATTATTTCTGCTCCATCCAATTATTTAGTCGCTTCGCTCATTCCGCTGGCCCTGGAGCGCTATTTGGGGCCTCTTGGGGCCGTCTTGGGGGCTTCTTGGGAGCTTCTTGGGAGCGTCTTGGGGCTCCTTGGCGGCGTATTGGGCTCCCCCTGGGGCCTCTTGGGGGGCTCTTGGGGGCCCCTTGGGGCGGGAGGGGGGGTAGTTGTTGGCAGCCCCCCCCTCGGAGGCCACGATCCTCGTGAGGGGTGGCGAAAAATAGCCTCCCCCCTGGGGATCGCCCGGGGGTCAGCCGGGGATCGGCCGGGGTACTTTTCGTCCGGGCCCCCCAGGGGCCGCCCCGCGCGCGAATCAGAAATATTGTTAAGTAGTTACCAGAGATCTTAGCACGCCTCTGGCCCGTTGGGCCGGCGAATTTCTATTTAATCGCTTCGCTCATTCCGCCGGCCGGTATTGTGCCCTCGCTGGCGTTTGGGCTTTGGGGGGCCTTTTGGGGTCCTCGTTGGGGGTTCCTTGGGGGCCTTTTGGGTTTCTGTTGGAGCCTCTTTGGGGTTTCTTGGAGCTCCTTTGGCAGCATTTGGGAGCATCTTGGGGCTTCTGGGAGCCGCTTGGAAGCTTCTTTGGGGCCTCGTGAGGGCCTTTTGAAGGCCTCCTGGGGCCTGAAAGGGGCCTCGTGGCGCCTCCTGGGGGCTTCTTAGGGCCGAGGGCTCGAAATGTTGTTTCGTGTTCCCCCCTCTGGTGCTTCTCTTAGAGCATTTGTGGGGCCCTCTTGGGTCGTCTTGGAGGTCTCTTGGGCCGTCTTGGAACCCTCTTGGGCCGTCTTTGGGCCCTGTCGGAGGCCTCTCCGGCCTCTTGGGCCGTCTTGGGGCGTCGCGATGCCGAAAAGGTGGAGACGCCAAAATCTCCCCAAAACCTAAGGAAACAAAACACTGACTTGTGCCTCTTGGGGCCCTCTTGGGAGTACTCTTGAAAGCCTCTGGGGGCGTTTGGGCTATCTCGAGGGCCTTTGGGGGGCCTGCTGGGGCCTGAAAGGGGCCTCTTGGAGCCTCCTGGGGGCTTCTTAGGGCCGAGGGCTCGAAATGTTGTTTCGTGTTCCCCCCTCTGGTGCTTCTCTTAGAGCGCTCTTGGGGCCCTCTTGGGTCGTCTTGGAGGCCTCTTGGGCCGTCTTGGAACCCTCTTGGGCCGTCTTGGCGCCCTGTCGGAAGCCTCTCGGTCCTCTTAGGGCGATCTTGGGGGTCTCTTGGGCCGTCTTGGGGCGTCGCGATGCCGAAAAGGTGGAGACGCCAAAGTCTCCCCAAAACCTACAGAAAAGCAATGACTTTTGCCTATTGGGGCCCTCTTGGGGGTGCTCTTGAAAGCCTCGTGGGGCGTCTGGGGGCTGCCTCGAGGGCCTTTTGGGGGCCTCCTGGGGCCTGAAAGGGGCCTCTTGGAGCCTCCTGGGGGCTTCTTAGGGCCGAGGGCTCGAAATGTTGTTTCGTGTTCCCCCCTCTGGGGCTTCTGTTAGAGCGCTCTTGGGGCCCTCTTGGGTCGTCTTGGAGGCCTCTTGGGCCGTCTTGGAACCCTCTTGGGCCGTCTTGGCGCCCTGTCGGAGGCCTCTCCGGCCTCCTAGGGCGATCTTGGAGGCCTCTTGGGCCGTCTTGGGGCGTTGCGATGCCGAAAAGTTGCAGTGGAGGCCCATGCCAAGAAACTCCCTCCTCGCCTCCAGGGTGCCTTGGGTTTCTTGGGTTTCGATGGTTTCGCCATGGAAAGCGTGACGTTGCCACACCAGATATCGATGGACGACCTGGGGTCTCAGGATTGGGTTTCTTGTGGAAGTTCTCTTGTGGTCGGGTCCCTACTGTAGATTGACCCAGCTTGGGTCGGCTGGTTGGGCCTTTGGGCCGTCGTGGAACCCCCCTCGGGCCGTATTCCGGGGAACGACAAATTACATAAAAATAGAAACTTGGAGGTCCGCGCGGACTTCTCGGAACAGCGCCGGGCCCCCCTGGCGGCGCCAGGGGGGCCCGGATCCGAGAATGGGGGTCTAGCGTGGATCCGAGAAATCTGCGCGGACCTCCGAATGTTTATGTTTATGCCATTTTGCGTTCCCCTAGTATTGGCGAATTCTCGGTTCTCGGGCAGCACTGGTGGGCCGTCTCGGGCCGAGGCGGTCTGTCGCCGAGAAGCCTCGGAGGCAATCTTCCCGGGCCTCGCCGGAGGCCTCTTTGGGCCCCTCGTAGGGCATTATCGGTGCCCCTTCGGGCATCCTGGGCACGTCGTGCCGTCCGAGGGTCGGGGGGTCGTCTTGGATCGGTATTCGGGCATATTGTACGTCTCTGTCTTGAGGCGCCGCTTGGATGTTTTTCGGGGCGGTTTCCGATGGGTGCTTGCGGATCGGGCGGCCGGTCCAAGACACTGCAGGAGTGTTGTACCAGACTGGCAACAGCTGGACATTCCAAATCACAAAGGGATTGTGCGGCGGACAACGTGTTGGGATTTATGCATGTGTACACACATCTGGATATCCACATTAATAGGGCGAGGCGTAGGTCCAAATAATCGACGAAATCATGTGTATAGATGCGCACGTACATGCATACTCATACAGTGTGATACCTCCTCCTTCTGATCATTCTGGGGGGTCGAGGATCTGGTGGACACCATGGAGCTGCCCGTTCCGTATCAGTATTTTCACCTCCTGAATATGATGGCGGCCAGGGCGGGTTCTTGGCGTGAGGGGGGCATGGAAGCAGGTTGGAGGGGAGGGGGACGGGCACGCGGGAGTGCAGGCGAGAGAGAGAGAGAGGGACGGGAGTGACGGTGGAGGGGGTCGAGATGACGTTCACGGGGGAAGAGGGGGAGGGGATGGGGAGGGCATTGCTGCAGAGGGAACGTCGGGGGATACAGTGGAAACCCATGCCAAGAAACACCCTGCTTGCCTCCAGGGTGCCCTGGGTTTCTTGGGTTTCGATGGTTTCGCAATGGAAAGCGTGACGTTCCCGCAACAAACATCCACGGACGTTTTGGGGTCTCAAGGTTGGGTCTTTTGTGGAAGGTCTCTTGTGGTCGACCCCTTACTGTAGTGAGGCGAGGAGTACGGTGAGGATTGATCGATAGTCCTCAGGGCGTGTGTTCGCCCAAGCGTGCGTTTCCCCATCTCGGCTCCGCCGACAGTTTGCAGGCCCGCGGCGGCCCTCGTTGCGCCACACGCACACGTTTGCGCTGACACACGCGGTGAGCAGTATCGAAGTGAGGGGAGGGAAGGGATGACGCGGGATTGCTGGGGGCGAGGGGAAGGGAAGGAGGGGAGGGGATGACGCGGGATTGCAGGGGACTTCTGCGGCGAGAACCAGAAGCTGGGGGGGACAATCCCATCCCTTGGTTCTCCATCGTCGGCCGCGGTGGACAAGCACCCGTTTGCACTAACGCACGTTGTGAGGATTGTCGAAGGGAGGGGATGGAAGGAGGGGAGGGGCCGACGCGGGATTGCAGGGGACTGCTGCGGCGGGAATCCGCTGCTCGGGGGGCTTTGACCGCCGCGCCGCAAGCGCCGCCGACCCGAAGGGCATGTGGCCGTATAGGAGGAGGAGGAGGAGGAGGAGGAGGAGGAGGAGGAGGAGGAGGAGGAGGAGGAGGAGGCCGAGGAGGAGGGGGAGGAGGGGGACGGAGGAGGAGGGGGACGGAGGAGGAGGAGGAGGAGGAGGAGGAGGAGGAGGAGGAGGAGGAGGAGGAGGAGGAGGACGAGGGAGGACAGTCCGATCCTTCGGTGCTCCATCCTCGCCCTGCTTTGGCGCGCCTGTTCGTGGAGGTCCCAGGGCGTGGGAGGATTGGGGGGGCGCAAGGGGGGAGGGGCGACAGGGAAGCACGAGGGGACGGGGGGGAACAAGGGAGGGAGGCGGCAGGATGAGCTAGCTCGCTCGCTTCTGTGTCCTCTTGTTCCCCCCTCCGCCCCCTCCCCTCCCTGCCTCCCTCCTGCCTCCCCTCCCCACTCTTCCCTCGCTCCCCCTGTCCCTCCCTCCCTCCGGCTCCTCCTCCCTCCGCCCCCCCTGCTCCTCGCTGCTCCTCCCTCCCTCCGCTCCCGCCTCCCCTCGTCCCGCCTCCCCTCGTCCCGCCCCCCCCGCCCGGCCACGACGCATACGGTCGCGAGAGGGCCCGCCCTGGGGAAGGTGGTTGTGAATTTGATGCTCTGGGCTTACGCCATGGGCATCTCGGCCTCGCTGTGGGCCCCGGTGACGTTCCTGTTCGCAGAGATCATCTTCATGGGCATGCTGGAGGCCAGCGACGGAACGGATAGAGCGAGGGAGGGAGGATGAGTAAGAGTGGGAGGAGGAAGTGGGGGCAAAGGTGGGGAGGGGGATGGGGATGAGGGTCTGGAGGACGATGCTGGGAGAGGAGGAGGAAGGATTTTGATGATGATGATAATGATGGTGGTGTTGATGATGATGATGATGATGATGATGCTGATGCTGATGCTGATGCTGATGCTGATGCTGATGATGATGATGATGCTGCTTCTGATGATGATGATGATGATGATGATGATGATGATGATGATGATGATGATGATGATGATGATGATGATGGTGATGGTTATGATCATGATGATTCTGATGATGATGCTGCTGATGATGATGATGAGGAGGAGGAGGCCAGCGAGGAGGAGGAAGAGGAGGAGGATAATGAGGATAATGAGCGTGCAGGCAGAATCTTATGAGTAGGATCGTTAATTCGCCGTGGGGAGGACGAGGTGGAGGAGGTGGGGCTGGAGGCAGAGGATGAAGGAGTGGGCAGTGAGAGAGGAAGAGGAGGATGAGGAGGGGGCAGAAGTCTAAAGTGTTGGAGGAGGAGGAGGAGGTTTAAGTAACACTAATGCTTGTTGAGATCATCGTCAACGTGCACGTGGCCAATCGCAACGGAGCGGTCAGTCACTCCTTCACCCTCCTTTCCCTCAGAACCCCATCGCACATCCTCCCTGCCAACACCAGCTGGCCAAGTGTCGCGCTGACACTTGGCAGTTCAACATTGTCCCCGCCGAACTTTCGAGAACCGTAGTGCACCCCCAACTCGGCGGCGAGCCCATTGGGGAGGAAGTGTGAAGGAGAAGGCCTCTGAGAAGTTCTCTGAGCCTTCAAAAGGCGCAAGAGCTCCTGAGAAGTCCCGCCGCCTTCTGAGAAGGCCATCTCCTTCTCACTCCCCCCCCTGGGCTTCTGAGAAGTCCCGCCGCGCCTTCTGAGAAGACCTTCTTCTCACCCACACTCTCGCTCGCCGCCGATTACATCCTCCTCCCCCGCCTCCCTCATACTCCTCCCCCCTGTCTCTCCAGCCCTTCCCTCCAGCCCTCCTCGCCTCTCAGCCTGCGCTCGCGTCACAGGGAGCAGGAGAGCAAGGTGCCTCGGCCCAGGCAGAAACTGGCTGGGGGCCCATCGGGAGAGGCACTATTGGCCATCCTGCCTGATGGCCGAATCCATCCTTCCCTCCACAACCCTCTCTCCCCGGGGCTCGTTTCGATCCCTCCGATTCGGTTCGATTCGATTTCAATGGCTTCCGATTCCGATCCGATTCCGATCCGATTCGATATTGGATTCCGATTCGGATTCTTATTGCTAAAGCCTTACGGCCAGTGTCGCCGATCCTGAAAACGACGACGATGATGAATACGAGGAGGAGGAGGAGGAGGAGGAGGAGGAGGAGGAATAGGAGGAGGAGGAGGAGGAGGAGGGGGATTAAGGTGGAAGGGAGCGGGAGAAGGCGAAGGATATGTTCCCCATGTGGGCCGAGGGAGTCGTAATTAGCAGAGACAGACAGGGAGCCTTGAGGCCTGCGGCCCTTCCCGGCACCGGGCTGGGGTTGTGTTGAAAGGCCTCTTAGATGTTTTCGGGCCTGTTGGGGCCTCTGTTGGCCTCCTGGGGATCTCTTGGGTGCCTCTTGGGGCCTTCGGGAGGCTTTTTTGGGGCGGGAAGCTCGAAGTGTCGGTTCGTGGTCCTCTTCTTGGGCCTGCTTGGGGCCCTCTTGGCGCGTCTGAGGACCCCCCCCGGACCCCTTCCCTTTGATCCATCCCCCCGACTTAAGTACGACGTTGCTTCGGTTTTCTCTCGCTGGCAGGCTTGAATAGGAGGGTGCAGGGAAAGGGGACGACGGGCAGGGAAAGAGGACAACGGATGCGTCGACTGAGCGCACGCCGACAGGGGGTTCACACGCCGACCGGCGGATTTCTCAATGGAGGCTTGCTAGCCTGCCGATTTCCGCCGATTTGCTTCGACCGTCGATCCAACTTGTCGATTCGATTTTGGCCTCCCCTCTTCCTTCGCTGGGGCCCGGCCGTCGCGGCAGCGGCCGTCTTCTCAGGGAGCCAGGGCTCTCTTCGCCAACCCGCATCCACAGAAAGAAGTCCACATCCTCTCCATGATAAGCGGGTTTACCAACATCCTTACCACAGGTAGGAGAAGGAGGAGGAGCAGGATGAGGAGAGGGCGTCTTTCCCTGAGATCCGACGTCGCCCAGACAAGCACAACGTCGCGAAATCGCGACCAGAGCCTTCGACGCCACCGCCTTGCCAACAATTTTTTAAGCTGGATCAACCTGCGAGAGCACCGTGGCCCGACACTGGGCGAGGGCGCCCGCTCTGAAGAGCTCGCGACGCCCGGATCTCAAGACAGTGCCTCCGTTTCGCTACGTCATCCTCCTTCGACGACGACGACGACGACGACGACGACGACGACGACGACGACGACGACGACGACGACGACGACGACGACGACGGCGACCCCGCCGCGCTCCGCAGCTGGCGTCGCAGCTGGCCGACCCCTTTGGAGAGGACGAGGTGGACTTCCCGGTGCGGGAGTGGACCCTGGACGGCGGCCGCGCCGCCCCGCGGGGCTGCTCTCCCCGCCGGCCTGGGGAGGAGGAGTCGAGGAAGAGAAACGACATCAAAGACGATCGAACAACACAAACCCATACCCATAAGGGGGTCGTTGGGAGGAGGACTGGCTATGTGTATGGGTATGGGTGCGGGTTGTCGGGCCCTGGGGAACGCTCCCGCTCGAGCGGGGACCCCCATCCGACAACACGCACCCATAGCCCTTTCCGATCCCCCTATGGGTATGGGTGTGCGTTGGTGGTTCGTCAATCAACATAAACTTTGAGCGCTCCGCGCGTATTTCTTGGATCCGCGCTGGGCCCCCCTCCCTGGCGCGCCAGGGGCGGCGCAGGAGGCGCCGCCCCAGGCGCCGCCGGATCCAGGAAGGGGCTGTATTACGCGAGGACCGGCACGGGTTCTGAGGTGAATTTGTCATTCTTGGTTTTTCGCCGTATTCGTGCCACGGGGGCCCTGCAGGGGCGATGGAGCTGTCCGAGAACGACTCATGGTGAAGAACTAGGGGGAGCAAACGATTATATCAAACAATACCCCCCCGGGGGGCTCAAAATTATGAGTTAGGCACAAACTGATAAGATCCAGCCGACAGAACTGATTTTCTGATCGTCTGGCCCCCCCAGACAATTGTTCTGCCGTCGTCGTCGTCGTCGTCGCCGTCGCCGTCGCATGGCGTTCCAGGGGGTCATGGAAGGTCCCTCTGCTTGTCTGTGGCGGCTGTCCACGATTGCCATGATCTGAGTGGACTTGCCTCCCTCTTCTCGGAGGAGAAAGACAGCATCAGCATACACTCTCGGAGCTCCGCGCGGATCTCTTGGATCGGCGCTGGCCCCCTCCCTGGCGCGCGGAGCGCGCCAGGGGGGGCCGAGGCGCCGATCCGGAAAAAGGGCGCGAATATCCGTTAGTTTATGTTTATGCAGTGTTGTCTTCCTCCATCCTCACCTTCGTCGCAGTATTCGCCTCCCACTTCCCGCTGGAGCTCCCATCGTATTCGTTTCGAGCGGGGCCACCGTGTCGGAGGAAGGCGGCGGTGGCGATCGGCGGCGCCATGCGAGCCCTACCCTTGCCGATCAACGATTCTGGCCACTCGATGGGCGGCGGGGGCACGGTTCGGGAGCCGTCGAAGACGTGGCAGCATCCGAGCCCTGCGCCCGCCTCCCATCGAGTCAGGGAGATCGATGACTGGCGGGGGTACGCTCGGGTGCCGCCACCTAGACGACGGCGATCATGGGAGGAGGAGGAGGAGGAGGAGGAGGAGGAGGAGGAGGAGGAGGAGGAGGAGGAGGAGGAGGAGGAGGAGAGGAGGAGGAGGAGAAAGGCTGGCGGCACCCGCAGGATTACCTCAGGTTCACCAGCGTCTTCATCGAGCAGCAGGCGCGCAGCTGCCCGCCTCTGCCCCAGAGGCCGCAATGACGCAAGGTGCCAGCCCTTCCGACGGTGCGATGCATCGAGTTTGAGATCTCTGAAAGAGCGTGTTCTACCGCTGCTGGCGGAAAACCGAGGGGGGGTCACTACCGGTTCGAACCCCTCCCCCCCCCCCCCCCCCCCCGGAAAACCGGGGGGGGTCACTACCGGTTCGAACCCCTCCCCCCCCCCCCAGCTCATCATGAAAAGGGGGGGGGGTCACTACCGGTTCGAACCCCCCCCCCCTCGAAAACCGAGTGGGGGTGCGGACAGGGTGGGGACGGTGTTGGTGGGACAGTGGTGAGGGGACAGCGGGACAGTGGTGGGGACAGTGGGACAGTGGGACAGTGGTAGTGGTGGGGACAGTGGTGGGGACAATGGTGGGAACAGGGGGGACAGTGGACAGTGGTGGGGACGGTGGTGGTGGGGACAGTGGTGTGGGCACAGTGGGAATGAGGTGGAAACAGTGGGACAGTGGAGGGTATAATGGTGGTGGGGACAGTGGTGAAGGCGGTGGCGAGGACGGCGGTGGGACAATGGGACAGAGGTACAGTGGGGACAGTGGTGGGGACAGTGGGGACAGTGGTGGGAACAGTGGGACAGCTCAGTGGGACAGCGGCGGAGTCAGTGGGACAGTGGGGACAGTGGGGATAGTCGGGCAGTGGTTGGGGCCGTGGAGACAGTGGGGAGAGTGGAACCGTGGTGGGAACAGTGGTGGGGACAGTGGGGACAGTGCGACAGTGGTGGGGGCACTGGTGGGGACACAGTGGGGGCAGTGGTGGTGAGGACAGTGGTGCTGGGAACAACAGTGGAGGATGTGATGCGGACGGTGGTAGGGACCGGGAGTCGTTTGCTGGCGGTGAGTGGGGGGGTAGGGAGGGGTTCGAACCGGTAGTGATCCCCCTCCGGTTTTCGAGGGGGGTGGGGGGGTTCGAACCGGTAGTGACCCCCCCCGGGGTGGGGAGGGGGGTTCGAACCGGTAGTGACCCCCCCCGCGTTTTTCGAGGGGGGGTGGGGGGGGGTGGGGTTAGGGGAGGGGGGGGGGGGGGGGGAGGGGAGGGGGGGGGGGAGAGGGGGGGGGGGGGGGTTGCCGGGGGAGGGGGGGGAGGGGTTCCAACAGGGGGGATTTTCGGAGGGGGGGGGGCGACCCCCGGGCTCCGGAGGAAAAGATTGGCAATCTTCCGCAGTAAAGCGGCGGTGGATCACGCTCTCTCAGATCTCTGTTACATCATGGGGATCCTGGTCTTTCGCGTTCTCTCGCTCTATATCTCCATCTCTGCTTGTCCCTCTCTCAGTGTGTCTATGTGTTATGATGTTTGTCTCTCTCTCTCTCTCTCTCTCTCTCTCGCTCACTGATGGTATGTAACAATGTAGTCATATCACACCTCTCTCTCTCTCTTATCTCCTAGCTCTCTCGCCCTCCGGGCATTACGGAATTGCACCCTCCTGAAGTGACCGGAGGGCGACGAAGAGGAGAAGAGAAGCGCCAGCTTTGAACCAGCTGCCACCAGACACCGACACCACTTGCTGTCGTCCAGTATGCCGCTCATTTGGCACTCCCGGGCCTTCTCCTTCGGTTACGACTATGCTCTTGTCAGTCCTCCATCATGTCTGGCCGACGGCGTGTACAGCCGCGCGCTCCTCTGCCCCCCCATGTCATGTCGTGTTCGGTTTAACTCAGCCGCTCCTTTTCCCTTGCAATTTGCGTACTTGTTCTAACTTTCGCGATATACGTTCTGCCACATCGCCTGAGTATGCTTGTGTAAAACGATCGGTGCAGCAACAGCACGTGGAGCAGGATAACGGCAACGACGAGGGCGAGGAGGGCGATGGGAGAGGGGTGGAGGAGGAGGAGGAGGAGGAGGAGGAGAAAGAGGAGGAGGAGGAGTGGGTGGATGATGATGATGATGATGATGATGATGATGATGATGATGATGATGATGATGATGATGATGATGATGGTGATGGTGATGGTGATGGTGATGGTGATGGTGATGGTGATGGTGATGGTGATGGTGATGGTGATGGTGATGT